TAGTTTTGTCCCCTTCCTCAATGGCACCGGCGGGCCCACCGACACGACTGTCGAAAACCACCGGCTACCGGCGGCGTTCACGGCCGACCTTCAGCCGTGCCTTTGCTCCGACCCAGACATAATAATAATAATAGTAATCTTATTTACTTATTTCCTCCCCCATGTGGTGCTGACGTGTCTTTCTTTGTTGAAATTAGGGTTTCCCATCTTATGTAATTTATACATCAATCAACAATGTTTTACCTTACATTAATCAATGTTTTTTTTTAGTGGAAGACTTCATTTATCTATTAAATACAATAAAATCCAAAAATATTGCCCTCATTGTTCTATATCTCTTTTTTTTAACATATATCGAAATATTTTGTACGAGTTCGATAGTGACATATTCTTAACAACGATCTGTTAAATATATCTACTTATGATTAAAGGAATATATATTGATTATTAACCTTTTTTTTTATAATTATATTTTGAGTTTAGGGCGGGTAAAAGTGAAATATTTTAATTATAATTATTAACCTTCTCTATGTAATATAAATAAACCAAGAAATATATATATATTAATGGGTTTTTGTAAAAAACAAAAAGAAAAAAACAAAGGAAGAGCTGAAATTGAGGGGATAAAAGAGCTGCAGCTGCACCTAATTCATAGTAATGTGAAATTCTCTTGTCTCAAAATGGGGAATTTTGTACAATAAACAGACTTTTTTTTTTTTTTTTTTTAATGAAAAAGACATGTTTTTTTTGTTTTGTTTTACCCTTTTTTATACAAAATTTTCAAGTTCCAAAAAGCCCGAAATTTGGGACTTCTCGTACATACAAACCCTGAAATCCAACAACTTTTTTATCTCTGTCTCTTCTTCATCTTCATCATAATTCAATTGGGTTTCTATTCATAATTAAACTTACAAATTTTAAATTTAATTTATCAAAGTGGGGTGCATGAGATCTCTGGTTTTAGTGACCTTATAATATAAATTTAATTAATTAACACCAAAGTTTCATTTAATTAATGCTATTATATTATAGTTTTTATTACTTACATTTTGTTGAGGTTAGGTATTTTTTGTTTTAATTCTTACGTAATGAGAAAAAAAATTCCCTTTTTTTGGGACTACGGCTTCCCACTCGTGTGCACGATCGTATTTATTTAAATTAATCTAATCTTGACTTTTCAATAATGATATTTTTTTTTTTTTTTGTGTAATTGTATTCACAAAATTATGATTTTTTTTTTAAATAAAATAAAATTCCAGGACATGGGTCACCATCTATAAGTGCTTGTGATGTGAAATATATATATATATATATATATATTATATTATGTGTATTTTAAAATGAATTTTTGAAGGCATAGAGATCAAGTTGGAGTTTGGTTTTGTTATTGAAATGATTTTTATGGGGAAGTTGTAACATATTAAATATTTGATTTCTCATTCCAAAGCTTTAACTTGTTCTTCTTTTTGTATTTTTCTTTGCCACATATCACTCTTGCTACTCTAATATATAATATGGAATACTCAATAATTTACTCATCATTAACCTACCATCAAATTTAATTCATATGTGTTTAATTTGAAGTAATTTTACGTTAGGTGACCTTCTAAAAAAATAATTTAAAAGTACGTGAGTGAATGACAAAATATTTTAAAAGACGCATATTGATATATGAGGATAATAATCTTCACTCTTAGAAGCACATTAATACAAGTAAATAATATATCCATGTCGCAAAAGAATGCCGAAGTTATCAAATGTTGAATCTAGATTCCAAATCCTGAGTATGGGACGTTACAAGTAGAGATATTTAGGTACTCGCCATGAATAGGATGGAGAACGGAAGAGCGGGTAAGTTATTAGTTAAACGAGATCGAGAACGAGGATTATATATATTACTTTTTTTTTTTTTTACATACTTATATAGTATGATTGGATTTATTAGAATATTTTATATTTATAATAGAAATTATTCATTAATTTTTTTTGAAATAAATATATTTAAAAAAAAAAACTTTTGTTGGGGAATCTGTACCTGATCTTGTTCTTGTCCCACCTCATAGATATCTCTAGTTACAAGACATCATGGCCAATGCAATCTCTGAAAATCTATATATATTATCATTAATGCAATATATATATACCCAAATTAAGTCAAATCTACCGAGAACTTTAATAAATTCTTGAACAACCAGTAGAGTGAACGCTTTGTTTCATACTAAAAAGATTCAGGATCATAAAGTCAAATATTTTAGTACTTACTAAATCTAAGCCTTTTTGAAAGCAGAGTTTAGACAAAATCATTAATTATGATACTTAGATTAATATAAAGGTTCATGTACTTAGCACAAACTAATTATGTGTATAAACATAATCGTGGTCCCTAACATTAAGTAACAACAATTAAAATGGCTCACATTTTTAGAACAAGCTGGAAGTGTTTCAATGGGATCGTGCATGGAACTTGCATTTCAGAGACTTACAATAAAAATTAAAAATTAAAAATTGACAATTTTTTATTCACATTTTTTTATTTGCAACACCTTGACTTATATTAATATTATATATTCCAGTTTATATTCATAAAAATGTAGCTTAACATTTATCTATCGAACTCATCTAATTATACTTCAAATCTCACCATTTCAAGTGATTTTTTCTAACGATTTTTAAGAGCGTTAGAAAGAACATGACTTTTTTCAATCCTAATTCTCGAGCGTCAAAAAATGTGAGATCCCACATTAGTTGGAGAGGGGAACGAAACATTCCTTGAAAGGATGTGAAATTTTTTCTCTTGTATACGCGTTTTAAAATCGTGAAACTGACGGCGATATATAACGGGTCAAAGCGGACAATATCTGTTACTAGTGGGCTTGGACTGTTACAAATGGTATCAGAGTCAGATACTAGAGAGTGTGCCATCGAAGACACTGGACACCCAGAGTAAGTGGATTGTGAGATCCCACATTGGCTGAAGACAGGAATAAAACATTTCTTGTAAAATCGTGAGTCTGATGACGAAACGTGACGGGTCAAAGCGAACAATATCTAGACTATGCGGAATGAGGAGGATTGGGTTTGAGGTTAGGGAGAAAAAGGTAATTTGAGTTGGTGGTGGGCTAGTAATGGGCCAGCCCCAATAATAAAAGGAAGGGAGGCCCATCACTTATAAACCAAATTCTGGTCTGCCTTTAATAGGGCACTTCAAGTTCCAAGTGAAAGATTGATATGTTTCATGTTCATCGCTCTTTTTTCTTTTCCAATAAGCTTCATTCATGCGAGGTTCTTTAACAAAATTTTTAAAATAATAATAATATAATGATTTCAAATGCTGCTCCACTTGATTTAATAATTAAAAAAATGAAACCACAATAATCATAAAAAAAAATAAAAAAAATTATTGTTTTTTTATTCCTATGATACATACAAAATGAATATGTCATTTCTTATAATTGTTCTTTATTATTTTACTATATTAAAAAAAAAATTGTCTTGAACCTAGGAACCAAACATGATTACCCTCTGGAACCTATCCTGTTCTCTTTCTCGGGCGTGAAGGTGAATCAAAGAAAGATAGCTTGTACCTGTTATAATAGTCAACCTTCCTATCAAGATGTTTACTTGGTGGAGGAGCTGATTAACCTTAGATAACGAAACAATCAACATTCGGTTGAGTTAAAGTTAATCTCATGCAAAATTTTCTATTTTAAAATTTAAAACGCTAAATATACATATTAAAAGAAGTAATAATAACATTATTTTACCTTTGAATTGGTGTCATCCATAAATGACATTGAAAAATGTGTAGTATGCACTTCTTTTGAAAAAGATTACGTATTCTACAATTGAAATTATTGCATCATTATGTCTTCTAATATTTCATAAAAAAATGTGATGTATTGAATAAAGTATAATATGCTTTATCACTAAAAAAGTGTAATTTATTTGAAATGTGATTTATTTTAAACAATGTTATCTATCTGTGCTTTCTTTCAAAATTCTCATTCTTTATTTTAGAAAGTGTTATATATATTCTCTTTCAAAATCAAATGTCACCTATTATTTATTTAAAAAGTGTATTCTGTTATTCTTTTTATTTCAAAATCCTCCTCTATTCTACATTTCAAAAAGCATAATTTATTACACTTTTGAAAGAAAAAAAAAGATCAATTATTCTTCATTTTAAATAAATTATTAACTTTTTTTTTTTAATTTTACCACAGAATGCACTTTCAGTCCTTAAAGTTGTAGCTAATGTTTATTTGGTCCTTGAGCGTCTCTAAGATATGTAAAAGGAATTTAAAATGATTCTCAACCTAACTTTAACCTAACAAAATGGTAACGGGTTGGATGATGAAATGGATGATGAAAATTCCACCTAATTTAGGGAATGGTCATTGGTTTATAATCAAATAATACACTCTTCATTGGCGGATAATGAAATGGATGATGAAAATCCCACCTAATTTATAATACACTTTCATTGGTACGATGCCTCTTGGGAAAACTCAAACCACAAAGCCATGCCTCTCGAGGATACTCAAACCACAAAACCACGAGAGCTTATGCTCAAAGTACACAATATCATATCATTGTGGAGAGTTGTGTTTGTCTAAACTTAGAGTCGTGTCAATAGATTGGTAAATCTTCAAATATCAAACAAAGGACTCCAAAAGAAAATGAGGCTGAGACGTTATATGTAAATTTCATTTGGCGATAACCTAACAAGATGAGCCGAGTGTTTATTCCAAGCTACTTGGCGTAGAATTTCTTCTCCCCATATCTGCGCCGTCCATCGTCATTTGTCAAAGAGCTTGATGCCTTAGTTAAGAGCGAAGGGAACTGGTATTGTTGACAACTGCAGAGTGACCATCTTTAAATTGTTGACAACTTAAAGCAGAATGAATGTACAATGTTTGGTAAATGATCCGTTCCAACGCCAACTAATAGTGTTATATTAATAGCCAAGGGAAAAGAGAAGAAAAGAACCATAGAAAACGAACTGAACATACATTTCAGTGCCCTATATATATATATATATAAATATAAATATATATTAAATTATATTAATACACAACCAAATAAGAAAATACTTTCCAATTGGAATGAAAGGAAAATGTTAACGACCTTTCTTTGCTCAAGCAGAGAAGCTTAGGATGGTTGCAACAGACTGACAAATAAAGATTCATATATAGAACAAGCAGGTGAGCATAAAAATGAGGACGACAGGCCTAAATGTATTATTATTAAGTCACCATCGCTTAGCCCATGGCATACTTCTGCGTCCAGCTCCTAGCAGTCGTCTCGTATTTGTTCCTGTCAGTCTTGTACATGTGAGCGATCTCGGGCACAAGCGGGTCATCTGGATTTGGGTCCGTCAACAGGGAACAGATTGAAAGCAAGACCTGGTTACAGGGATACAAGATAAGTACGATCTCAGTAGTTGGTAGAAGAACACCAAAGGACACACATCAGTGAAGTCAAAATTGTAAGTGGGAACAAAATATCAAAATCCATCAGTAAAGTCATGGAAGCTGATCGCATCCCACAAAAAGAGCAATATTGATGATGGAGACTAGGTGAAGAGGATATTCCTTCATAATATTTGGGCAAAGGATTAACCTCATTATTAATTAAGTTAATGGTCAATTCATGCGAAATCTTTCAAAAGGCATATGGGATAATATAGCATAGATGTTACTATGTTTAAGGAACTAGCAAGAGGAAAAGTTTGTCCAGATAGGCACGAAACTAGTAAGAAATTGCAAAGAGGAAATTAGTTTTTAGTCTTAAACAGCAGATCTCCTCCCTTTCTCTCTACTATTATTTTTTATTTTATTTTTATTTTTTTTTGCTTTTTAAGTCTAAGGGCAAACCTTGGAAATAGTTAGGGCAGGACTCCACTGCTCTTTCAAGATGTCAAGGCAAATACTACCATTGCTGTTGATATTTGGGTGAAAGACCTTTGTTCTGAATGCCACCTGCAGATTCATTGAATCATGAAATATATAAAAGTAAGAAAGCGACATCCAAAAAAAATCCACAAGAAGACAATTGCAGAATCATCATAAATTTTCTTAGGCGAAACCTTTGTGTTCGAGTCACCATCAGATAAAGTGGTCACAACCCATATGCCTAGTTCATCAAATTATATGCAATACCCTTGGTAGAAAAAATAAAGAAGCAAACGGATGACAGGACAAGACAATGAATCTAGCCTGCACTCATGCCATGGATCTCTCCCCTCAATATTTATATATTATGTTTAAAACCGAAATTCAATCAAGAATAATGAAAAGATTACATATGGGTATCCATAAACAGCCAAGCTAGGTAAAAAAGGACCTCAGTCCAAAAAGATAAGACCACGAGGGAAATTACAAAAAGCCTTGGACACGGATGACCAAACAATAGCATCAAACCCAGCAACAGGCTGAACCTCTCCACCAATAAATTAGAGACAGTCTGAAGACAACATATTGACATCCTTGGAAACTTGCATCAAACAACTGGAAAAATGACAAAATGCATACTTGAATAACTATCAACTAAAGGTGTAAATGCATCACTGCATATCAACGTACATCTACTATGCTACTATAGCTCAATACAGCTAAAAGAAATTACAAACAAGTTACCCATTTCAGACCCTTAAGCTGAAAATAGTTGAGCTTAAAGATCAAACAAGAAAGATTAAGAAAAACAAGATCAAGATCATTAGCTCATGTTTGAAATGCTAGGGCACGGAAGTCAAAGAGTAAATAGCCATTTACAAGAAACAGTCATACCTTAGGAGGCTTAAAAGGATAATCCGGAGGAAAATGAATGGTGACAAGGAAAACACCCCCAGCATAAGGACTGTCTGGAGGACCCATTATGGTAGCTTGCCAATGAAACATGTCTTCGGCAACTGGACCTGAGGAAATTCTTACATGAGTCAGCCCCTAAATAGGAACCTACTGTTCAAACCACAAAGACCATATAGGATACACTAAAAACTAGAATTAAAATAAATACTAAGAAAAAGATGTGCAGCTCCTCAAACCTAGTCTTCTTTCTCATGTGAACGCATATAATCTAAATTTATCAACAAGGGTGAAACAAATCAACATAGCCAACACCTTGATATTCAAGTCCAATCATTGAAGCGTGTTAACTTTGGTTCTAGCAGCAATAAGAATTGAAGGTTGTCATGAACTAAAAATTCTTGAATACCTAAACCTTAGTTAGCAACGTTAAATCTACAGTAAGGAGAAATGAGTACAATAGCAATCTCAAATATCTAAACTTTAGTTTCATATGTGAGTATCCCAAGCTAAAGTGATAAAATTTGTTCGATAAAAGTTAACAACACCATAAGACATCATCTTCTCAGCATGGATAATGATAACACTGAAACATTCCTCCTTGGTGTGGTGTGGTGTTGTGTCAGAAGTGGTGTGTTCTTTGCAGGAGGCACAAAGAAGACATTGATCGTTTGTTGTGGGATTGCTAGTTTGCTTATTCCCTCTGGAACCAGGGTTTTGGTTATTTTGGTCCTTACATTTCTCGCAGTAGAGGTTGTGGTTCCATGATCAAGGTGGCGCTCCTCAGAGTTCGGCTCGAGAGGAATTAAAAGATTTTTCAAAAGGGTGGAGAGTCCTTGGGAGGAAGTATAGGAGGTTGTTAATTGTTAGGTTAAATTATTCCTTGTGGGCGTTCTTCCATCAGACACATTTTGTAAGTATCAATTTGGTGTTGTTCATTTGGATTGAAAGTTGTTTCCTTTTGTAGGCTTTTCTGTATATTCCCTTGTCAAAGCTCGATTTCTTACCAATAAAATAATAACACCAAAACAAATGCAGTGAAAGACAGAAAGCAAAAACTCCCAAATGAAATTATCTAAAAATATGAACTGACATGCTCACTAGAACCAAATTATGATATATTTTAAAAAGGGGATTCATTGACTCAATTCCCTCCCTCTTCAAAAATAACGTGAGCGTGATCTGACGATCGTTCTTCCATCAGCTCGGTAAGGAAACCCCAAACAATTTTCAGCCAACAAACCCTCCCTAAAAATTTCTCGGGGCAATTATCAGCATATATTCTCAGCAGACAAGACCATAAACGGTCAACAATCAACAAGCACAAGACAAAAAGTAACTCTCAGACAGATCAGAAAACCAGATGAAGTCATGTAACAAAAGAGAACGATGAATATGATAAGACCAATCAACTCAACGGAATCAAAACAGCCTAAATCAAGGCAAAAAAATAAAAATAAAAATAAAAATAATTTTATACCAGCGCTACATGATGTAGGAGGGTCCTTCTGCAAATCCTTGAGTTCCTTCAAGATCCTCTTCGACGCCATCAACAAAATCTAACACAAATCTGAAGATCCAGAATCCAAATCAAAGTTCAGATGGGAGCGCCAACAGAGAAACAAGCAGATTCACAAAGCAAAAAAAGAGAGAGAGAGAGAGAGAAAAAAAGGGAAATCATACCAGAGAGAGGCCCACGTGAAGGGCTTGTGTTAGGTCTGGTCTGGTGTGAGGGTTTGTGGAGAAGACGAAGAGAAGGATGAGGATGAGAAACGAGGAAGGAAAAGGAAAACAACACTTTGTGATTTGGTGCGGAATGAAATTTATACAACCGTTTTCTGCGTGTGGGGCCCTGCCCCAAAGCCGACGCTTTTGATTGGTTCAAAATTAATTTTTTATTATTGTAAAATAATTTTTCTGAGAATTGTATGGGCCCTACTTAGCGTTTAATCTACGGCACCTCCTCCTTCGCCGAAAGCTGCCGCGAAAGAAAATTATTCCCTTTTTCTGGTTTACCTTCATTGGGCCTTTAATGGGTCAAGGCCCATTTTAACTTGGGCTCGTTTCTCTTTCAATGTGAGCCAGGCCCAACCCAATGGAATATATTCAAGAAACGAATATATTTTCTCAAATTTATAAAGATTAATTTTTATTTTTTGAAAAGTCAAGCAAAAATCTAACAACATGGGCTAATTTTAAGGTTTATTGAAAGTATATATACTGAATTTAGATATTTGAAAAATAAATTGACTAAAATATAATAAGTTTAAAAGTATAAGGACTTCAAGATACTTTAATTGTCTATTTTCTTTTATATAAAAAATTTGTGAAAATGTCAAATTCTATTATAAGTTCACCAAATTTGAAAAAAAAAATACTTTTTATTTTTTAAATGGGCAGGAAAATCAGTCGTTGACTAAAAATTTGAAAATTCTTATTCAAATTTCAAATGCTTTTAAAATCTTTTTAGTCCATTAAGGTTACCAAATATAAATATATATATATATATAAAAGGGTGAATATGTTAATTTGAGCCTATACTTTGTTAAGACATATCTACGAGCTTTAAAAAAAATTAATAATAAATTTTTAAATTTACAATTTTGCATATAATATATTGTTGATATGACATCTTTAAAACTCACCAACAAGGGTCTTATTAGACATCAATTATTTAAAAAAATTTAAAATATATGAATACAAATTTATTAAATATTTTAAGGTTAAAAAATATATTAAAAGAGGAATATATTATATATTTTTTAAAGTTAAAATATTTATTTATTAGGCACAAATGTAAAATAGCATATAAAATGAATGCAATGGTAAAACAATCTCCAATTCAAGCAGTTTAAATGAATGGATATGAGAAGGGGATAGAAGAAACCTATGTACTGTGTAACCACCATAACAGAACAAAGATGATTAGAAATTTGAATGTGAATATGAGGACGAACCGATTTCCATTACACGAACTGGAGTAGAATGAGCCGATCTTGATCCAGATGATTGTCCCGTTCCGGTGCTCATTCGCCAAACTTGCTCGATTTTCGACACGATATCCATCATCTTCGGCCTCTCCTCGGGCATTTTGGCAACACAAGACAACCCAATTTGCAGCATCTCCACCATTTCTTCTTCTATATTTGGATACCTCAGAAGCTCCACATCAAACACTTCTGCTGTCCATTCCTCCCTCACCACAGACTTCACCCACCTCACCAAGTTAACCACTTCATTACCACCTTCAACATGTATGGGACACTTTCCAGTCAGGAGTTCCAGCAGCACTACCCCGAAACTGTACACATCCGCTGCTTCTGATGCTCTCCGAGTGTCGGTCACCTCAGGGGCTCGGTATCCAACCGTTCTCGTGGCTGGTACCGGAATAGAATTCATCAACACAGACAAACCAACATCAGATACACAGCCATACCCTTTAGAGTTTAGGAAAATGTTTGAGGCTCGCACGTTTCCATGTGAACATTTTCCACCGTTTTCTGTGTGAATATGAGCAAGACCTCGAGCCGTTCCGATCGCAATTTTCATCCGACTATCCCAATCTAATAACGGTAAACCATTTCCTTCTTTACCTGCAACATTAGATTGATTCGCCGATTTGTTTAGAACACAGATTCACAAGAGAGTTGTATAGAAATTATTGCAGGAGGAGCAAGGAGATGGAATACTTACTGTGTAACATTGCAGAAACACTCCCTTGTCCGTAGTAATCATAGACCATAAGCTTCTCGTCCTTTGAATAATAGTATGCTCTTAGCGAAACGACGTGCTCGTGCTTAATGTTTCCAATTAACTCCATCTGCTGTTCGAATTCTCGTTTTCCAACCGTCACTTGATTCAGCCTCTTCACTACCACAATCGTCGAGTCCTCCAACGTTGCCTTGTAGCTCACTCCGAAGGTTCCCTTCCCGAGAACCTCGGCAGACGCTCTCAACAGGTCTTCCAAATCAAATGCGAGATTAGAATCCATGAAGAAATTAAGGTTGTTCTTTTGTTCTTGGCTCTCAAATCCCCTTTTGTTCACAGATGTTTCCTTCTTTTTGGACTCCATAGTGGAACTACCATTTTCTTTTCCCCTTTTCAACCAGCAAGCAGTCAACAAAACTGCTACCAAAATTAATCCAACAACAGAACCACCAATTGCAACACCCAATATTGCAGATTCATTTAGTCCTTTTCCTTTTCGTGTCGGTCGAGAACCGGGAGGCTGAAGCGGAAAAGACGGGGGAATTGCACCGTGTTCTACAGTAATATTGTTATTGGAGAACACCCAACTTGGAAATCTTGTAAGAGAATGAGGCACATTTCCTGTAAGACTATTGTTAGACAAATCTAACCATTGCAAACTCGGAATATCAAGGTCGGGAAATTCACCCGACAACGAGTTGTTTGCAAGATTCAGAACAGTCAGATGGGTCAAGTTTGAGATTGAAGAAGGAATACTCCCATTAAAGAGATTGTTAGATAGATCAAGGACACTAAGGTTCCTCCAAACTGAAAAGTCCAAAGGCAAAGGACCAGAAAACTCGTTGTATTGCAAATATAAGGAACTCAAGTTTTCCAGCTGGGAAAGATCAGAAGGGAAAGGCCCTGATATCCTATTTAATCTAAGGCTTAGAGTCTCAAGTGCAGATAGGCGGCTAAGAGTATTGACAGGAATCGGACCGAGCAGACCGGTCGCCGGTAATCGAATGGCTACTACTCTAGACTCATCAGAGTTGCAAAACACTCCTGCCCAGCCTCTGCACACAGAACTACTCTCATTCCAATTGAGAGAAGGCGAGTGAGGGATATTATGGAAGAAATCAAGCAATGCTTGCTTGTCTTCAACTGGCTCAGTGAGAGCCCCTGGTAAGATTATCGCTATAAACAACATAATTTCAAGGAGGATGAAGCAATTCTTCATCATTTTCTCAGACAAAAACTATCCGTTCAAGCTAAATTACGTGCAATTCTGGTCCATACCTGCAAAATTAGGTCTACAAGTTGACTTTCCATAATCACCAAACAACACAAATTGAAAATCTCAACCCCCAGAAACAAACAAGTTCAAACAGTTTGGTTTCATTTCGAATACCTAAATTACATTAAACCCAATACGCATAAAGCTAAAACAAGGAACCTCACATACCTTTCAAAATCCCCACGAGACCAATCGAAACAGAGCTCTGATTACAATATTCTGAACGACCCAATTCGCAGGGGAAAGGGGGAAACACGGGAGAATTGAATTGGAAGCTAAGGAAAGTATGGAACCCAGAAGGGAAACAGTTGGAAAAAGCTCCGTACGTTCTGGGTTGTGGCAATGATGGCGTTGGAATTTCAGAGGGTTGGATAATCATTTGAGACAGGGAGATGGTCCAAAAGAAGAAGGAGAATAGAGAAGAGAAGGGTATTTTAATGGTTAGGAGCCTATTTCTTTATGGCACACTGATAGGAGCTTACATGTGCCGGATGGTTGCCGCCATTGATGGACGCTTCTCTTCCTCATCAAGCACTAGTTCCTGCATTACTTCTTTTTTCCTCTTCTTTTATAATAGTTTTTTTAGTTCAACAATGACATGGGTGCTAATGGATAATATAAAGTATTGCCATTCAATCTATTTTGAACTCATATTTTAAGAAATAAGAGATATTAGCAATATTTCAAAAAAAAAAAAAAAAAATCCTCTAGTTTTTCAATTTTTAAATGTTAAAATATTGCCTGTGGATAGAATTATTAGCTTAATTTTCAATCAATTTTGAATTTATGGACATTTTCTAAATAGCAATTCAGGAAAGAAATCACATTTAAAATATAAGTTAAATAAACAATGTGCCTCGCATGTATTTTCATTCACACTATATGATATTAAAATAATCATTTTATGAAGATTCATGTTGTGCACGCACACGTCGAAATTAATTGTCTAAACCGTATAATAAGAAATGTAATTATTTTATATTTTAATTTTCACAAAATTATTAATATTTGAATTATTCTGTTTGACCTTATTTAGTTACATTTTTTTGAGTAATAATTTAATTACATTTCTAAATATAAAAAGATTTGTACTCAAAATATATAGTTAAAAACATTCACGTATGAACCACTTTTGAGTAAATATTAATTCTCAAATTGGCATTTAGTGAACCTATGCTTCCATGTGATTTGCAAATAAGTCTACCACAATATTAGGCAACCTCATAAATTTGGTCAAACTCATACTCTACCAATAAAACTATTCGATCATATTACGACGAGAAATTTCTTATAGAAATTTTTAAGGCTTTAAGGTGGTCTTTCGATTGTCTCTAAGATTGTCGTTGTACCTAAGAGGACACCTTTGGTCTTCCTAGGATATAAAATTCATCTCTAAATTTTATTCAATAAATAAAATTTTAGGACTCTAAGACGATCTTTGGATTATCTCTATCATTGTTGCCAACTCTCGAACAAGGGATGATTTTGGTCTTCTTAGAGTGTAAGATTCTCCTATGTATTCTATTTCCGATAAACAATTCCAAGTCTACATGTGATATTTCTTAGATTTTATGTTCTCCATAGGTGCGAGATCTCATATCGGGTGGAGAGGAAAACGAAACTTTTTTTCATAAGCGTGTGAAAATCTCTCCTTAGTAGAGGCAATACTGTGAGGCTGACTACGATATATAACAAGCCAAAATGAACAATATTTGCTAGCAGTGGGCTTGAACCGTTATAAATGGTATCAAAGCCAAACACTGAGTAGTGTGCTAGCAAGGACATTGGGCCCCCAAGATGGGTGAATTGTGAGATCTCACATCGAGTGAAGAGTAGAACGAAATATTCATTATAAACGTGTGAAAACCTTTCATTAATAGAAATGTTTTAAAATCACGAGAAAAAATTAAAAAATAACGATATGCTCTAGATGTGAACTTGACCAATTTACCTGGCAATGGTAGGACCCTGTTTCTATTAATTGGATATGTGGTCTGAGAGTGACGGCCCATATCGTTGGGCCCATTTAGTTACAGCCCATATATACTTTTTTATTTTAGTTTTCTAAATATTATACAACGATTTGATAATTTAATAGGGGAGAAAAATCAGATTTATTTTGGTAATCGTGATTATTTTCTTTTTAATCTAAACCTTATCTTAATATCTTCTTCCATAATTAAAAACGAATTAAGTTATAGGACTTATAAAATTAAATATATAATGTAAGCGAATAGTGTAAGAAATTTTGATATTAAAACTTATATTTTCATGAATTTAAAATTATTTATCAAACGTGTATGTCATTATTTATTCTCTTATATCGACAAAATTTAATTTTTTTAATAATTGTAATTAGATCACGACAATTTATTATTAACTTACTAAATACTTAATTTTTTATATTTTATCGTTTAAAATTGAAATCTACCAAGCACGGCTTAAAGACAGTTATGGAGAATTATTTTAAATGATATAACAATGTCAAACTAAGATCAAATTGCTATCGGGGGCTCGTACTTTTTTTAAGATTTGTGGGGAAGGACAAGATGGACCCATCAGAATAGTAGTAGGATTCATAAAGGGACGAACAACATAAATAAATGGGGCCATTATTAAATGCATAGTTCCACCATATTCAAAGTAAACCCATTATTAAAACCCTGTGGCTCCAAATTTTTATCCATATCAGATTTAAATCACAACACGTATCTCAAAATACAATCTTAATGTAGCGATCTTCGTATGGTAAACATTGCAATGATATCTTTTTGGTCTTACTGCAACTTCGTTTTTCTCGTCGTTCACGCTCAATTTGGTGCTTCCTTTTCGAGCCATTTCTGGTATCGACAACTTTTGTGAAACCACCCTTTTAGATACAAAAGATGACTCAAGAAACACGTGAGTTCACTTCTTTAAGTACTTTTACGAGACAAGCAACCCATTCTTTCAAGCTCCTCTCCACTCAGGTCAACTTTTTTCTAATGCACTAACTTTTTACCTGCGATCCTATCTCATATATTTTTCTTTTTCATAATTCAATCATACCGTAATTTATTTTATTTCATAAATTATAAAATTTTAAAGCAGAAAAAGAATAACAATGACATTTTCATCATTTTGTTCCTAAAATGCTGAGCAATGCCGGCCCAACTTTATGGAAATTGGCATTTAAAATGATGGCATAATATCGTAAAAAAAATGTTATAAATTTTTGTAATGAATAATGAGTGTGACATATACATACATACATAGATTTTAGATTATTATCCTTTTTTTTCTAATCTTTTAAACCTTTTTTCTATATTAAGAAATACATACCTGATTCCATTCACTACTCCATATTTATTAACTCTATTGTCATTTTATTTTTAATTATAATTCTTCAATTTTTCTTTTATTAAAGACCAATCGAATTACAATATTTACATTTAAATAAAATTTAAATAGTTAAATATAATTATAACCCAAGTAATATATTTAACTCTTCAAAAGTTTTTCATAACAAAATTTATCATTCATTCTTTATTTATCTATTAAATTACTTCGGACGGTTGTATTTTAATTAATATTTCTTAATTTAAATAAAATTTTCAAGCAGAAAATATTATTAATAAATTAAACTAATTAAACGTTAATAATGATTTTTTGTTTTATTTATTTATTATTATTATTATTTGGAGTCGTTGAATGATGAAGGTTAAAGTTGGGAAAGTTGGTTGGTGGGTTAGAGCAAAAATCTCACGTTACCACAATTCTCACCTACCCACATTTTTTTTAATTATTTATTATATATAAACATACACCCTAATAATTATATTGTTTTAACGACTATATTAAATTATTTCATTGATTTGTACTCAAAAGGACAATAATATTAGGTTGGAGGATATACGGATTTTTTTTGTTGGTGTAATGATTTTAGATTTGAATCTAATTATTCATTCCACGTAGATTTATTCTAATATTTATTTTATCTTATTAAATATAAGAGAAATATTGAAATGTTAGGAATTTAAAATTTTCTATTATTGGACTAAAAAATGAAAATTTATGTTCATATAATTTTTGTAAAAACAATAATAGGTCATTGAATTGTAATCTATCACTGAACTTTAAGTTTGGGAGATATAAAATTACTTAAAATATGAAGAAAAAAAAGTATATATATATGCTATTTACGTTCATGGCTTGTTACTATAGTAATTATAATAATGTGAGTATAAAATGCGAGCTTCGCGCCTTATTGAAGAAAGGGGCGTTATGGTGGTTGCTGACAGTACGGTGCGTAATTAATGCATAGAAAGAAGAGAAAGGGAAAAAGATCACTGACGTGGCAGAATAGTAATCCATAAAATAGTCCACCATATTGAAATATTATTTTCTTTTCGATTTTTATAGAAATAAATTGAATTTTAAGCCAAAAATAATATTCAAGAACTAAAAAATTTATGTAATACTTTTTAACGGTTATAGATCAAATAATAATTTAATATATTTTTTTTCATTAAGATATAAAGTTTTAAACCTCAAATCTTAAAATGTATATATATAAAAGTGTCAATAAAGTATTTATGTTGATTTTATTTAAATTTATTTATTTAAAAAATATATAAATTAATATTGAATTATGCTCACATTTATTATTATTATTTAAAAATATCATATTGTTGTCATAATTTCCCCTCATTATTTTCTTTCATAAATGAAGAAATAAATGTGTTAATAATTGAGCTGTATTCTATACTTTTAGTTAAAGGACTATACTTCTAGTTAGAGAATATGTTTCAATTGATGTTTCAAAAGCATCCAAACTGAATTATTATGCCAATTTGATTATATTCCTTTTTATTCGAGATTATTTAAAATAAAAAAAAATATAAAAAATATAATTTGCTCATTATTTAAAATGAGGATGTTTTGGACATTTCTTCCTCTAGTATTATTCCGAAATGTTGATATACATTTATTCACCTACTCTTGTTTTATTTACCAATTATTTAATATCACAATAAATAATAAATACAGACACCTAAACTTACTTTAGTGGGTTCTTAAATCTTATATTATGAAATTTATTATTATTTTAATTTTAATTTTCTGATTTTGGATTAAAATTATGAACGCGAAAGTAGACACGTCAATCATGCATATATATCATTCATGTTGACAAGAGACTTTATGAACAATAAATGAGTGTTTGCGAAAATTACAAATATACCCTTTCTATATGCTCCTCCTTCAAACCTTATTCTTTT